ATGTATGTTTTCCCTTTCGCTTCGGCGCACATAAGTCCGGCGTTCCCCCTTGATAGATGACCACAGGCCGACAACAATAGGCGTATGTAGATGACGACAGATGCAGGTGTGTCCACGGGAATATATCCGCTCGGCCGATCTGAATCTCTGGCGTTTTTTCTACGTCTTAGCCTTTCCTGCCTCTCTGCCCCCCATGGGGTTCTACACGTCCCTCAAAAAAAGGGGGGCTCCGAAGCATGGACAAGAAGGGGTGTTCGTTGACGACGTTTGTTTGTTTGATTTTTTTTCCGCAAACAGGCATCCATTATAGATGAAGTCCATTTCCATTTGGATGATGTAAATGCAACCGTCCCTCGGCATGAATTGATGTATGTATTTATGTATGATATTTCCCAGCTGTCTTGAGCGACGATGTGCTGTATACATTTGCAGACGGTTGTCCGTCCTGCTGTTTTGTTTTGTTTTCCCATCCTTGGACCCTCAAGGAAAGTGTGGGGGAAAAGAATCTTCTGACGTCGTTGAGAGAACTGTTGTTTCTCCTCACCCCCCCCCACTTCACCCCGTTCCCTTATCTACTTCCTTCGCTGGTGCATCGGCAAAACCATTATGGTATGTATGATGATCTCTTACCAATAGTCTGAGCATAAACTCAAACCAAGGTAAAAATTATACGATGATTTTATTTTCTCATTTCTTCTTACCTTTCTTTCCCTTGGACCATAATCCTATTATTTATTTATTATCCACTCCAATTGATAATTCTGTACCTGCAACGATTTTATTTATTTATTTTCGATTAATGTTTTTCGTTTCCTCATATATACTCTTAATTCAACGAACACGTCTTTTAATACCCATACATATTTAGAAGTATTTGAGACTTGGCTCAAAACTGTCTGAATGCCTTCGAGAAAAACCTTTTCTTAATCTCCATCATTGTGTTTTGTATTTCGCAGTTCAGTTTATTAGTCTGAATTCTATTACTATTACTGAATGAATTAGTCTATTCTATTACTGAATTAATATTAGTCTATTAATTCATTCATCATAATATTAGTCTATTAATAATCAGTAATATTAGTCTATTCTATTACTGAATGAATTAATAAATAAATAAGATTTTAAACTCCCAATAACGAGGGAGCGGTTTAATCGCATTGCAGATTAAATGCCCCCTGTCTTGGGAGAAGGGAAGCAAAATTTGTTTATTAAGGATTGACAGAAAATTAATATCGTTATAATTATCGTGCTTAAATATAAATTGCCTTCAGAAATGGCAAAAAGGAAAAGAACAATTCGTGATGGTAGCAGATGGTATTATAAGTATCTGAGAATCGTTTTTTAATCCACTGCAGTACGCAGTTCAAGTGTACGTCATGTGAAATATATACATAAAGTACAATAAAAAAAAAAAAAAAAAAAAAATTGTGTCTATTTTTTTGCAACGCTAGTATATGACATTTCTGGAGACACCTTTGTCTGTGTAGATCTCAAACCAAACGTATTTATCGATATGTGTCAATCTGATTCGTTAATTTAAGACCTCAAATTTAAAAATCTGATGTTTACACCACATGAATTCCTTGTGCGGAATATTAAATTATACACATTTTTTCCTGCATTTCATTTAAACTTATTGAATTGAATTAAATCTTCTTCGCCGACAGCACATAAAACACAACAGAATAAACGAACTCTTTAAAATTCACCATATTTATTTACCGTAGCGATACTCTGGCACTAGGTCCACTTAACAACGTTACATCTCCTTTATTTTATAACTCAGAATGCACAAAAATTATATCATCTAAAGAATTATTTAATCTTTGCCACATGTTCTATTCAAATAGTGTAATAAATCTAAAACGATGTATAAAAAAATTAACAAATAAAAAAGAAACAGTTTTTCACTGACGATTCAGCGTTAATACGAAGCACTTATTTCCTCGAATTTCATTAGAGACATATTTCTCATTCAATTAATTTTTGTTCTCAGTTCGCGACAAGGCAAAAATACATAAAACCTCAAAATATCTTCATTAAAAATTGGAAAATCTAGGAAAAAAATAAAACACCAAATACAGTTAAAACAATAAAAAAAACTTTACAATTAAAATTAGAGTTTCTACGCAAAAACAAGCCATTCGGCCAGCAGGCAAGAAGGTAGACTTTTCGGGGCACAAAACTAAAAGTTTTCTCTTTGGTCCCACTTGGCAAAAAGACACTCAAGATGCAGAAGCTGAATTCACTATTCTGCTAAGTTTCAAGTGTAAACAAATATGGCTGCTATGTTAAACAAAGTTAGGCTTAGGTGCACTTAAACAACTTTTAAATTTTTGATAATTCTAGAACTAGTGTTTGTGGATTAAGTAAAGGCATAAAAACCTTAATTGGAAGATAAGAACAACATAATCAATCATTTTTAAAGCAAAAAATGCACAATTTACATATATAAATAAAAGAACTGAGCCCACTGAGCCGAGTAACAGAGTGGATTGTAACGTATTTGCGTTGCTACGCTACCAAAATAATTCTACTAAGAAATGTAAATTACCGCAGACGATTATCCGCAGACGATGCGCGCGCTTAAAAATGCTTTTCCAGTTTATTCTGTAAGTTTTGACTAATAAAGTTTGTTGTTCGTTCAAAAATGGCGAGATTTCTTTAAACTTCATTACAGGATGTATCGGACATTCCTTTGGAGTCTTTTTTTCCACGCAGAAGTAATAATTGAAAGTTTTTCCCTTTTCGATTAATAATGTAGCTTATTTTGCGCTTAGGAATTTTAATACCAGGCATTTTACAATGCTTTTGAATTATGGAATACGAATATTTCTCTTCGGAAAGCGCAAAATCATATCCATCAATCCACAGTTTGTTTACTTGCGAAATTTTGAAACAAGAATACATTTAAAAGTGGCAAACGGTATTCCTCGTGTCAAATAATAAGCTGTTGCCAGAAATCTTTATTCCAAATCACTTGCTGTTTTTTTAATTCTTTATCGAAATCGTTCTAAAAATATGTGAACACCCTCTGTATTTATCTAGAAAAGCAAACCGATGTAAATTGCGGTACAAATTAATATTAATTGACAATTTTTCGTTTGTCTCAGGCAGTTGGTACATTGATAGGACCCGCGTTAATTAAATTTCGTGCAGCTGGAACGCCAATGCAGTATATGTGAAAAATGTCTTCGAAAAATTTTACAGCTTTTTGTTTTACCTTTAATCTTCATATATCATACTAATTGTAATTTAATAATTAAAACTGTATTGTATGAATTTTTATATTTCATGAACGCCATGCCAAAATCATGAATCTTTAGGTCTATATTTAACTAAATGAGTTTTTCTCAACTGTTTTTTTAACGTGTGCAGTATGCCAAAATGAGAGAGATCCATGTTCTTTGATATACATGTAAGATAAAAAATATGTAAAACCAAATTTTAACTTTGCAACAGTCCTTTAAGTCTTCATTTTAGTTTATTTTCCCTTTTGCTTATAATAACTAATATTGCTTATAATAAATCTCTCTAAACTACGTCATTTCATAATTAATAGTCATCATATGAATTTTACATTACACTGGTGACGGAGATGGTTTTGAGAACTGAAATTCAAATAGCACATAATAACTTAATATCATCATATGACTGGCAAGTTATTAATTTGCCAGTCATATGATATGGAATCGAAACTAAATCACTGTGAACTAAGATTTCTTCTCGAACCCATCGCATCAATTAGACGCTCTGCGCTGCTTGTCTTCTTAGCTCTATCACATCAGAAATTCAAAGTTCTGAAACTGGCACGCCTCTTGTGCCAGCTTATTTGGGGCTGTAAATGTCGACAATAAATAATATATTTAGTTTAACCATGTCTGCAGCTACTTATTTATATTTCAACAACTGTCTTAAAAAAATTTTGACTGATTTCATGCTTACATGCGTATTTAGGAATTATTATTTAAGGGGGCTCATACACCTTAAACCCCTCATGATCTTCGAAAATGTGACTGTTGCAAGAATTGGGATATTTTATCTATTTTAAAAGCAATTACTTCCAACCTTTTCAGCTGACTACATAATATAGTTTTTGCTTTGGAACTATAACCAGAAAGTTTGTGTTGCCACAAAATTTTTGTAATTTAATCCTCTTTGTGACAAAATATTTCGCCATGTTCCACCTTGCGCGCACGATATTTTAAAAATGGCTGATGGTAATACTTGAAATTGGATGGAATTCTTTATATGGGCACTATTTTTTCTAACGTAAAAAATGATAAATATTTTAATATTGAAAAATTTTTATGACGAAAACATTACAAATTTTTTTAATAATACATTTTATAAACTCAACTCCAATAAAATAAACTTTAACAAGAAAATTTTTAGAATTTTAGGTTCATATAGTTTCAATGTTATAAAAGCTCTCTCTTCCTATGGTTAATTATGCAACAGAATATTTTAAACTGTGCGCGCAAGGTGGAAACATGACGAAAAATGTTGTCACAAAGCGGATTAAATTATAAAAATATTTGTGGCAACACAACTTTCTGATGACTATTTCAGAAAGCAACTATATTATGTAGTCAGCTGTAAAAAGTTGGAAGTAATTGCTTTTAAAATAAATAAGTTATCCCAATTCTTGCAATAGTTACATCTTATGGGTTTTAAGGTGTATGAGTCCCCTTAAACGTCATATTTAGTTTCTAAATAGGTTTTAGAAATGGTATTTTGTCGAATTCTTGGTTTTGGCATGGTAACTTATTATAAACTTTCACGAAAACTTAAAGCATATTTGGCTTTAATACTTGTCGGCTTCAGAAAAGCCAATTTATTTAACAACTCATCTCATTTCCGCCTTAAAAAAAGTCGGTATTCCCTAAATACTTTTCTTTGAGGAAGAAAGAAACTAAACAGATTAGATAGAAAGCTATTTATTGTGAATTACAAATGGTTTCAAGCATTTAGCTTCTGCCTGCTTTCTTTTAACGACTTCATTTTGTTCCTGTGAGAAAAGCGGGACTTACGCTCTTAGTCACCCATAGAGGGATCTTTTTGGGGCCATATAACTTGAACTCTCCTCTTATAAGAAGACCATTTGGCAGAGAATAATTTCCTTGTCCAGAAGGCTGCAAGAATAGAACAAGAAAGTTTATTAATATCCATCATATCATATTTTGAGGAAAACATCATCTTTCAATCGTTCTATGTGGAGGTTCTCAATGACATAAATCTTTTATGCGTATCATTTTTTGAGGATCTGTCTATTCGGAAATGAATCTACCCATTCTATTTTTCAGAAATTTCTTACTTTCATGGTCGTAGCTTTTTTTCAGCAAAATCTATTGCAACCATTGCTAGAGTGATGCCTTTCTAAGCGGGAGGAAAATGTTTGATTTAATTATTATTAATTATTTTTAATTCGCTAGAAGATGGGCCTAAGGTTAAACAAATCAGAATATCGTAGATTGTATCCAAAATTTTCAGAGCAAAATATGACTCGTGCTTGTATAAAATACTAAGTATTCGATCGAGTAAGTAAGTATTTCGCTGTAAGAAATATAGAATCGATCTAATTTCAACTTCTTCAGAAGGTCCTAGATAGTTGCAGCTGGCCTAAACTGCAACTTTTTTTCGCATCAGAAGAAAATTTCTTACGGGGTTTCTTATGTAGTTTATAAAAGTAGACTTGGTAGTTTAGTGGCTAAAAGTCTGCAGTGATAAAATAAATATTTATAAATATGCTTATTTAACTTTATAGTTTATTTTACTTTAACGTTATAGGTTATTACTTTTAATATTATAGTTCATTTAACTTATTAAACTTTAGTTTGATGCAGTAAAATTTTCACAATGAAATTTGAGTCGTGCGTTTATAAAATGTCATAGAACTTCTGCTTTTTAACTTGACACTGATTCCCCACCCCCTTTGGTAGTTTAATATGTTTTCTAGTTTGATATAATGAATATTACAAATGTTTTTTCAGTTTTTCTATTTTGATATAGTAAATATTACAAAACCCCTTCGTTTAATGACTCTGATTTTTAACTTTACAGTATGATGATTTTTAATTTCTTTCACATACATTGAATGCTATCATAATACACTTATTTTTCTTATGTAAGTTAATGTCTATCTTAAAATTACGTAAAAAGGGATATGGAAAATGTATTTAGTACTGAATTACATATTTGTTTTGCAGATAGGTATTTCTTATTTGAAATTCAAAATATGTGTCATTATTTTTTTAAACGTTATTTCTGCAAAATTCCTCAAGTGTTACGATGAAGGAATAGCGGTAAAAGTAATACCCATTCAATATTGTGATTAGAGGGTTGAGAAAGCATATGTCGTGTTTTACAGCATAATTTTTTATTCTTTACTTACTTTTCCATCGATGAAGTTTCCAAAGAAATAGATATTGTTCATCAGCACTTGAACAGGACCATTTAGAGTTCCATCAGCGAAGTAACCTTTGTAATAAAAGCGGTTTGCTTCATCGCAATATAAGCCATAACCTTGCTTCTTGTCCAAGCACCACATACCGTCGTACATATCTCCATTGGAATATGTGTATCTTCCATGACCGTGTTTCTTATTCTCCCACCACGCTCCTGAAATAAGCGAAATCCTGGTGATACAACGCTATTTAACTGTGTTTCTTGTTAATTCTGTAAATACATTACAATTCAAAATAAGGCGTAGTGGTGCTTCGCATAACGAATATAATCATTCTGCGGTGTCGCCGAAAACGTCGTGGAGAAAACAACGCAAGGCGAAAACGCCGCTGTAGAAAACTTCGCGGGAGAAAAGAAAGCAAAGAGAAAACATCGCAGTTGTAAAAACATCGTGGTACAAAATAAAGCGGGCCAAAAACTTCGCAGTTGAAAACACCATCGTCGAAAATATCGTGGTAGAAAATAAAGTACCTGCAAATCGTCGCATGACCATAACATCGCACACATGTATTTTCACGTTTTAAAAGTTGTGAACGCATGTTCGTATAATGATCTGGGAGAGCAAGAAGGAAAGAGGGACTCCTTTACTTCTATATTTCATATTTTTGAATGAACTAAAAATAAGAAGGAAACTTAAGCATTTAAAAATTGAAAATGAGTAGAAAACTATTGTAACTTATTCGATGCGGCTTATACTTTAGAATAAATTTAAATATTTAATTATAACAAAGGTTATTTAAAAACTAACCTTTTTTTTTTATAAGGATTTACTGATAATTTTTTACGAAACCTACGATCTAACAATGCGTAGAAAAAGGAAGTTGTTATGTTGGATTTGTTAGTGATGACGAAAGTCAATTACATAATATGTCAGTGTTGGATTTCAAAAACGTATATGTGTGATGTTATCGTCATGCGATGATTTGTAGGTACTTTATGTTTTACCACGATATTTTCGACGATGATGTTTTTAAACTGCGAAATTTTTGAACCGCTTTTGACCACGATGTTTTAGAACTGCGATGTTTTCTTCCACGAAAAGTGAGGAATATTATTTGGCTTAAATTTTTTGCATCTGAAGATGGAAGTTCGAACAGATCATCGAAGATAGTACTGCAAGTTTTAGTTACATTACGGCACTTTTTGATGCTATATTTTGCCCTCTTTCGAATTAAGATGGGTTATGCTTTCATAGATCAGTATAAAATTTAAGATGGTTTCGCTTTTTAGACTTATTAATGATAAAATACTAGGGCTTTGGGAAATAATTAAATTACAGTGACTTAATCTTGCACAAGAATATTAGAATACCTATATAGAAAAATAATGCAGATATGATCCAACCTTGTGAATTTGAAGTATTTCTATCAGGTACTGCATGTGTAACGTGAATACTAATTTCCCTTAAAAAGTCCTTCACGAAGGCATCCTTCCCCTTAGGTAAACAGCCATATTGCGCCTTGCCATATTCAAACAGACTAACCTAACATAACCTATCGGATATAGGTAGCGTGAATACATCATTAGTAAGATTCTAAGAAAGCATTTAGTAAAGCATTTAAGAAGTTTAGATCAAGCATTTAGTAAGATTCTAAGAAAGATTATAACTGGTCATTTATTTTTTCAAAAGAATTTTTAAAAAATTAGGAATTTAGCATTAAAGCACTGCCTTGGTACAATGAGAGAGACCCTTAATATAATTATGATTATTACAAGAAAATACCTAAAAGGATTCGTGGTAAAAATTTGCCAAGCAGTAGAATATTTAAGATTTAATCACATGAGGCATTTGAGGATTTAAATAGAACTCCCCGTAAGAAATTAAGTAAGGAATTTTCTGCAAATAGTAATCGGATAGTGATATAAAATAAAACATATTAAGAGAAAAGGCCAGTATGCTTATACGTTGAGTGATACTTTGAACAAGCTGTTTTCATTTAAATTATTCCAGCATTTAAATTGTTTTTGATTCATAAACTGGATGTTTTTTGAAAACAATCGAGTATTTAATTGTAAACAATTAAATCATGTATTTAATCGCAGATCTTTATTGTTTAAAAAAACAATAATACTTTTATGTGACATTATACTGCTTTTTTCATTTTTACACAAGTCATGAAATGGAAAAGTAATGAAACCTTACGAATTGAATTATCATTCTTTTTCCTGATTAAACTGCAAAAAATTCATTTAAATCTTGTGGGTACTGATGTTAGTTGTTTTACCTTCGTAACGACTGCCATCAGGGTATATGAATGTTCCAATGCCATGTCTAAGTCCTTTCCTCCAGTATCCAGTGTACCGCGCTCCGGATGGAAAAACATACATCCCGAAGCCATGACGGAGACCTCTTTGTCTTTCTCCTTCATAGAACCCTAAATCTTGGGTTGTATCCACGCTTTCCTGTAAACAATAATCGACGGCCGCTTAGAAAACTTTTTTTTTCACTTTTTTAGACTGAGTTTTATTTTAAAAAATTGTAATTAATGTATTAAAAAGTAATTTTGACACCTTTTCAACACTGAGTTCCCTCATAAAACAACGAAGACTGAAAAACGGCAATTTGCTATTTATGTTTCAAAGAATCATCATACTGTCTGAGTGGGTTGTTAGTACAGAGTTTTGGGTCAGGTTTGCTGTACAATAACACAAATAGTAACTCGTACAGTAACACAAATAGTACTCGAGTTAACAAAAAGATTTGAAAAAATTCTACTCTTGCATGACTGCTTTTTTATTGAATTATTTGTTAATGACTTGCAAAAATGCTGTTATACTTTAGTCGTGTTATTTTTTAATGATATTTTTTAAACCATGACAAAGTGATATGCTTTAGGCATAGTGAGTTTAAAAAATTGTAACTGTTTTTAATGCACATATTCGCCCCAGATATTTCATTGGCGAAGCTTGATGAATAGCATTATTATGTCATTTATTAGACATTACGAATTCGGTACATTTTAATTCAATAGTGACATATCGCGATGTATTTAAAGCTCAGAGCTATTGTCATGTGAGAGACACTGAATTGAAACAAGTATTTGACAACTTACACAGTGAAAGACATCCAGGAAATATATTAATCCGAATTTAGAATTAGACAAAACTTTTTCTTAGATTGGGATAAATTTTAGATAAATTTTGGAAAATCGGGAGACTTTCGTGAGATTTTGATACAAATCTCTGTTCTTCAACGATCAAAATATTGTGTTGTAAATTCAAATTCTTTTAAATTAACAGCAATCTAAGTTTAGATTAAAAAAGAAAAAAAATGCAGCAGCTAAGAGCGAATGGACGTAAAGATACTTCAATGTTATACATTTCATATCATTTTAATCAAAAAATATGCGCTGTTTATGAAATATTGTTATATTTTACAATTTTTACATTTTGATTGTTCAGTTTTTACATTTTAAAAAACTTGTTGATTAAAAGGATTAATAAGTAATTAATATAAATAAATAATTATATAGTAATATTAATCAGTAATTAATAGTAATGTGCAGTATATGCTCTTTTAACCGGTCCGGAATCGGTGTATCCGGATAATTGAAAAGGAATTATTTGAAAAGAAATTTTTATGTTATTTTTTTGGCTGTATGCTAATCTCCTTGTTCTATATTAGTTTTAAATTTTTACCTTGAAATCTTGAATAAAATCAAATGGCGAACCCTGGGTGTGCCCAGACCGGGCTCACCGACCATCTAGGACAACTGAGATTCTGCATTCTTTGTTTCTCCGCATCTCATCGGTCAGTTCATTGACAACAATGCTCGTTTCAGCACTCTTTTCGAAACTCTATTCAATTAGTGTGCCCACTTTGGGCACACCCACAGAATTAAAACGATAAGTGCTATCTTCACAAAATTTTATTGTGTACTCCTCTAGGCCTTATTAGACTACCTATCCTTTTTCTTTTTTTAATCAAAACTCCGACTCTAAAAGGTAGCGTGCCGGAAAGGATTAAAGTCCTCTATGAAGACGTCTCACCTGTTAGGCAGGCAGCCCTCGAGGCTTTGTCGTAATCATATAAAACCAAAAATACTGGGAAAAAGAGATTCACCTCATTTTATAGTAATGTGTCAATAAGATATACTGCCAGTTGTTTAGTTACATGAATTTATTTGGCCATGTTTAAAGAAATCATAATAAAATTGAGTTAATGTTCTTAAACAGTCAGCATCATCTTAAGTAATAATGTGCTCTTTCTTTATAACCATATCTTATCCTTTCTTTTTTTTATCCTATTCAAGCTAATTTTAGAATATTTGCGAAAATATTTTTTAAAAAGTCGTGAGCTTATATTATTATTTGTGTGTGTTTGCTCTGTTTTTAAGCTTTTCCTTCCTCCAGATATTATTGGATCTTGAGTATTTGATGAAAATAACCTGGTTAAAATGTCAGATATTTTCACTAAAGTATTTTCATTAGCCAATTATTATGATTTAAAAACTTTACTATAACTTCTGCTTTGCGTTGTCCGTACCAGAATTAGATTTTTGAGTATTTAAGGTGCTGGTTTAAATGTTTTAGAGCTTTGGTAGCTTTACACGCAGTTTTCATCCGATCGCCAGCTCTGCCAGAGATTATTCGGGCTTTAGCCATTTTGCTAGCCGATGTTAAAGTGTTAGAACCAGCTTAAGTAGACAATTTTGTGTAGTCATTCGACTACGCTACCTCGAATTGGAATTTCAAAGTTATTTTAAATACTCGCAGGAGGCGGAGTTTTTGTTTTAAGCACAATTGGTGTTTGTATTCTGTTTGTAATTCTTAAAGATTTAATAAAAAAGATATTTTAACTTTCTCATGGCGTTATTCAGATATTAATGCTGTTTTCTGCTATTTGTCTAGTTAAATTTGAGCTTAGCTTGTAAAATATTGTTAATCGTTTTAAAAAGTAAATTATGAAATAATACTGGGATAAATGCTTAAGTAAGTAAGTATTTGTCAGTTCTTTAGTAAAACGGAATAACAATACAATTTGATTCGAAGTTAGCTTGCCATTAACAGAATTTCAGTTTTCTAATATGTTAAATGTTAGGTTGGTTTGATTTATTTGATTATGGCAAACGACTCGAGGGTTATATGCCTAAAGGGAGGGATGCCTTCGTGGAGGACTTTCTAAGGGAAACTGACTCGTATACACGTTAAACTTGGGGAAAACGACGAAAATGCCCATGCAACCAGTCTGTTCGTGGGGTTCGAACCTCGGACCGAACTACCAGAGTTTAGTGACTTTACCGTTCGACCGCTGGTGGGTATTAAATGTTAGGATTCGAAAAGATATTTTCGTATATTTAAAAGTAAAATATATTGAAATACGCAAAATCGCATATTAAAAATTCTAAGAATATCTAAAGAATATATTTAATTTGTTATTTATACAGTAAGTACAGTATTGCAAATTATAAAAATAATAGAGTTATAAGAAAAGTTGCGAAATAAAATGTAGAGCAATATACAATTATACGAAGAAAAGCAGAATTATAAAAAGGCATGTACTTTTATGAATTATTAGGCAGATAGTGCTTAAAAATTAAATATTAGAATTATTCAGTACATGCATTGCAATAAACTCAAGGTTTTTATCAATAAAATTAGGAAATCGTGAGAAAGTATATATGAAGAAATTAAAATAATATGTAAGAAAACGTCATGTAGAACGCCGCAGGACTTGCTAATGATCAACCATTTTTCCTACACAAATGTGCACGTATTTTCTTTTACTTCCTCGTCAGACAATGTATATTTACACGATTAATGCATCACCGAAACAAATAAATATATATGCTTCTTTCTCACCTCTGACATCGTGAATGAATTTTTTGCTGAAACTACTGCTGAAATTGGGAGATTATCAATGGAGATTCGGTCGTTGAATAATAATTTTACCTAAGATGCATCTGAATTTCACTGCAGCTATCGACTGTTTCAATTTTGATGGATGGCGTTTTCTTCTAGCGTCTGTTGTTTAACAATTCATTCATTGTTATGCACAAGCAACTATCCGAACCCGTTTCCTCATTGTTATGGAGTTGAGCATTGTTGAGTCCCATTGTTGAGCTGCTTTGCCGTTAGACGGTAGTTTTTTTTAACGACTCATTTTCGAGGATATTTTACTAATCTAGAATTCAAATGTCGTGTTCCTTGATGCGATGTCAGATTAGGTGGGCCTTCTTGCGGTTTCTTTAAGTGCTTTCTTAATTGCTGGCGAATTAAGTGTCCCGAATACACGAACGCTTAATTGCAACTGAATTAGTGTGCTGAATTTATATAAGCTGTAATGACATTACCCTTTCAAGATGAGCATTTTGCACGAGCATACCCTGGCGGACTTAAATATACAGTTAGTCACAAAAGTCTGCGTACAGACTAAATTTTAAATTAAAAAAACACTTAAAGCATAGAAAAATGTATTTTTAATCATTGCATTTTTTTTCTTCTATTAGCTAAAATTGTAAGCTTAAATAAAACAATAAATAATATCAGTGTAATACTTTTTACATTTTTTCAAAAATATATTTTGTTAAAAAAACTCAGAAATTCCCTCCAATAAGTCTGCGTACACTTTCAAAAAAAAAGCAAAATATAAGGTTTTTACATTACTTCAATAATTTGTAGGATATCCTTTATTCTTCAAAACAGCTTGCAGACGTCTGGGCATTGCCTGAACTAGTTTTCCAGTGTCATCCGACGTAAATTTCGCCCATTCTTCCTGCAATTTACTAATTAGCTTATTTCGCGACGTAATATTGTGTTTTCGAATTCGTTTCTCCAATTTTGTCCACAAATGTTCGATTGGATTGAGGTCTGGTGACTGTGGAGGAGTACGCAACTGTCTTGGAGTGTGATAGAGGAGATATTCCTTCACAATTTTAGCTGTATGTTTCGGGTCATTGTCTTGTTGGAAAATAAAGGTATTAGAAAAGTTTAAATTTCGAGCCCTGTCTCGTAGATTTTTCTTCAGAATATCCAGATAAATATACTTATCCATGACTTTATCAATAATGTGAAAATTTCCAACTCCTTTCGACGACATACACCCCCATACCATCACACCGCCAACTCCATGTTTGACAGTTGGGTTTAAATTTCTCAGATTCAGTTCTGTTCCTGGTTTTCTCCATACAATAGGGTGGCCATTACCTTTAAATATTGTAAATTTACTTTCATCTGACCAAATTACATTGTTCCAGAAATCCTGCGAAGAGTTTAAATATGTTTTGGCAAAAGCAATTCTTTTCTTTCTATTTGTCTCGGAAATGTATGGCTTAGACCTAGGTTTGCGTCCATGATAATTGGCCTTTCGCAGCACTTTTCGTACAGTTTCAAGAGAAATTTCCTTGTTGCTAGTTAAAAAATGTCTTTTGCAATGCTTGCAGCAGAAAGTTTAGGATTTTGTTTAATTCGTAAAAGAATTTTTCTTTCTTCTCTCTGCGTTAGCTTCTTCGGTCTCCCACATCTTGGTTTTACAGCAAGACTACCAGTGTCAAGATAGTTTTGAATAACTCTTTGCACACTAGGAAATGGTTCCAATGGTTTTACCAATATAACGAAGAGTTTTACCTTCATCTCTCAATTTGATAATTAGTTATCTCGTAACTAAAGGAATTTCTTTATTGGTTGTCAATTTCGTCAAAGAAAATAGAAATAGCAACTTCCAACCAACGTGAAATTTGCTTCGGAGGTCAATGACCTTGAAAGTGTAACCTTCTTTGCATTCTCAAATTTGAAGTTTAAAAGTTAGATAAGAAATCCCCCGCCTCCTTCGCGTTGTACGCAAACTTTATTGGCTTTGATTTCTGGCCACTTATCTTTTAAAAATTAGTGTGCATAAATTATTAGATATGAAAATATTACAGTTAAATAATTTCAAAGTCCCTTATTGAAACTAAATATTTAAAATATAAAACTTTAAGAAACTACCATTTTCGCACCTTAAAATTTGTATTTGATATTACTTTTCTTGATGTACGCAGACTTTGACTAACTGTATGAGCAAAAACATACATGCATTTTTTTGCAAATCAAATATTATTCGCAATTATCAGTTTTTTGGGGATAAAAGTCATGAAAATAATAAATTTAAAAACCTATTTTAAATTTAATAAATTAAAAACGAAAATCTGAAAGGTTTCAGATTTTAAATAACGTCCAAAGGAGTGGTTTTTTTTTTTTTTTTTTTTTTGGTGGTTACCTTTTTTGGTGGTTACACGTTTGGTGTGTTACCTTTATTTACTAAATATCATGTTCTTCGCACTTAAACCTTAAAATTCAGTTCAAGAGCAATATCGCAAAATAATTTTTAAATTTAGCCTATCTTTAGAATTTCCGATACACAGTCTTGCGCGCTGGAGATAAAAAAATATTTTTTTTTTGTACAACGTCGTCGTCGCTCGCTTTGAAATCCTTGAGTTTGTTAATCAAAAATTCGTTAACGTTTTACAATATATTAAATCGATAATAAAACAAATTCCAAATTTCAAATTTGGGCTTCCAGATACCCATATTCGCGGGAGGATTACATTATTCAAAACTGGATGGCTTTAGGTACCGTTGTTTTATCACAATGCGAGAAACATGCATACATTTATGCAGATTCTTCATTATTTAATTTCTTTAAATGTGATAGAGGGCGATAATATTTGGTGGCAACAATCTGAAAAGTGAAACGGACCTTCAGAGTGATTCGACGCAAAATCGCAAAACGAAAACAATAGTCTCTTTGGACTAATAAAGCTTTAATTTATTATTTAATTTCAAATAAGCTCTGACAGATTCAAAGCTTATTTTATGAAGTTAAACGTGCTTACCTCTTAAATTACGACTTTTATTTAGTCATCGTACTTTCCAGAACGACGAATTCCAAGAACACAGCTAAAAGCTAAAATTTAACTTATTCTGATGTGATTCCTAAAATTTAACGATCCTGACATGGATCAAATCCTTACGAAAGCGCAGCTGATTTTTCTCTTTACCGTTTCGCTAATGTAATGAGTACAAACCAAATTAGCTTTCCCAAACGATACAGTTAATAAGCTATTCCCAGTTTCAAAAACTCTGTTCTAATTTATTCTCACGCACATATTTTAAGGATTAAAACATGTAAACCCTTTCATGTGGTATACATGTATTAAAAATTCATTGATGGAACTGAGTTACTTATCGCTGAAATTAAATATTTCGTCTATATCGAATGCTTATTGTTTTACTATTTGAATAGATTTTAATGTCTGGATTAACTTTTCTAAGTCAGCGATTTTTTAAATGTTTAGACTTCAAAAGTTAAAAGGTTAACTTCAGAGGCTCAAAGGTTGGTTAACTTTAGACAGTGATGTTTACAGTTGTCCTGCGAAAATATGTGAAAGGTGAAAAAAGATTTGAATGCAAAACTGACGATAAAAAAAAAGTGTCATAAATATAGGGAAAATTTTTGAATTTTCCATAAAAGAATGTTAAGTGTTCAAACATTAAGTATATGATGAAGAATGTGTTGTTTTTCATTATAGATTACTCTAGTTTATTTGAAATTCAGTTACTTTTTAGAAAGGGAAAAAAGAAAATGTGAGGAAAAGGAAACAATCGAAAAGAGCCGCATTATGAATTAAATAAAATACTTTACAATTCTTTATTATAAGGATTGCATTTTCGTTACCTAATTTATGATAATTTTATCCGCTTAATTTAAAAGGGAAATTTGACTCCTTTTTTCTGTGGTTTTCCCTATCAAATTAGCATGATTCAATCTGAAACTTAAAATTTGGGCATTTTAAAAATTTGTATACTTTGCTCTAGGTCTAGAGTACTGGTCTTCAAACTTTGTTGAATTCATAGAACCTTTAGAATTATAAGGTTTTTTTCGGGGAACCCCATCATACCCTTAGGAAAACATATTTTAAAATAATATTTAAAGCAGATCTGTGTGTAATATAGTGATTTTATGTAAAGATAATTAAAGAAATGTATTTTTGCTGGAACTGTCACCTACCTTTGCATTATATTTAGTAGCAGAAGTGTGGTTCCATTTTTTAACACACATTGTCGAAGTCTAGCTCTATTGATGCTATGTGCAGTTGCATTTCCTATTCTGGATTTAATTTGTTTCTGTATTTTGTTTTTGTTACCATATACGTCAAGAAAAACTTTTCACTTAAATACTTTGTTCCGAATGGTGGCTCACCAGCGGCCGAGCGGTAAAGTAGCTGAACATTGGTAGTTCGGTCCGAGGTTCGAATCCCGCGAACGGGCTGGCTGCATGGGCGTTTTCGTGGTTTTCCCCCATGTGTAACGTGCATACGATCCAGTTTCCCTTAGAAAGTCCTCCACGAAGGCATCCCTCCCTTTAGGCAGATAGCCCTCAAGGCTTTGCCATAATCACACACATTGTTCCGAATGGCATTAAAATATTCACAGCTGTGTGAGAATCTTCTAGTTGTGCATGAATCTACAACCAACAAAAATATTACCCAACTGTGTTGGGGGGCTACTCTTGCTTAAATTTATATTTTAACGTCCAGGCTGTTGATACGTAGCTAAGTTTTATCGTAGTATTCGAATGGATCTTTTATCCAGCCATACTTAGATTTTTACCCCCCTGGGAAATATTCTCTTACAGATTTCTTCAATTGAAAAAATGTTATAATGTATCATTTTTAATACTGTCGATTAAATTCATTCCATCTTTCGAATTTTTATTTTGACGACTGATTAGAAAACTGTTTAATTTCGCAAAGTATTGTACATCTATTGCATAATGTAAGCTATTTCCACTTTATCTCGTATTACGCGTCTTTCGCGAAGTATAATAAAGTATTGTATTCTCTTTGATATAAGACGACCACATGTTAAGTTTTAAAATTAATCTGTAACTAAATGTATTTTTATATTTTTAGTTAAACGCTAGTCAACTTATCAGGTTCAGTGTTCCTTCTTACTTGCTT